CCGGCCAGGCTCCGGGGCTGGGAAAGTCCCGGTGCCGCTGGGAGGTGCGAGCAGGGGCGCCCCGAACCCGAGCCCCGGGGGCCCACCGGCGCCAGCTCCCCCGCCGCGGCACGGCACGGCTCGGCACGGTTCCAGTTGCACCCCGGCATCATGACGCAGCCTTAATCCAGAGTCACTCCCGGAGCAGCGATGGGCACGAGCCCCCTCATAGCGCATCCCCGGGGCCGTGGCCGTCCCCTCACCCCTCGCAGTGGCCATACCTGGGTCTGGGTGAGCCCCAGCTGGGCCGCCAGCTCGGCGCGCTCCGGCAGCGCCAGGTACTGGGTCTGCTGGAAGCGCTGGTTGAGGGCTTGAAGCTGCAGGCTGGAGTAGATGGTGCGCGGCTTGCGCAGCTTCTTCCCCTTGCCGTTGATGCGCAGCTCCCCGTTGGCGACGGCCAGGGGCTTCTCATGCTCTTGGGGCGGGAGAGGAGCAGAGAGTTAAACCGACGCGCTGGGAGGTTAAAAAACGCAAACCAACAACCCCAAACCATCCCACCCTGGCCCTGGGGGCTGCAGTGGGTTTTGCTTTTCGGAGGTTAGTTTTGGAGGGGAGGGGGAATAAGTAGGGGGGGACCTGCTTTTGCTGGGCTGCTTTGTTTAAGCCCCAGGTAAAGCAAAGGGGAAACAGGAGGAGGAAGGGAGGGATGGGATTATTCATTTGATATCACTGTACAAGCCCAAAAGCGGGCAGGCCACAGGCCCCTCTGCCGTGCACCCGATGGGGGGCTGGGCAGGGCGCCACGGGGCGACGGCAGGGGCGGCAGGACAGACTCCCCTGCCCCGCGGGCCCTTGCTGTGGGCACGCTGCTCCCCAGGGCTGCAGCGAGCCCCCGGGCAGCCCCTCGTCGCGGGGTCTGTGCCCCCACCCTGGACCACCTCGTCCCCGCTCCGTGCCTTTGAGCATCCCTGGGTCCTTCTTGGGCCACGTGGCTCCTGCGGGGCAGAAAGCCACCGGGGCCCAGAGAGGCACCAGGACAAGGTGGTCCCTGGCTCAGCAGCATGGAGTTGACGTGGGCGAGCGCATGGCATGGTGGCGAGCGTGTTTGCGCACCCACGTACGCCCTGCACAGTCTGCTCTGGCCACAGCCATGGCTCTCGGGAGCTGAGGGGCCAACAGGGCCTGGGGGCTCAGCCGGGCTCAGGACCCCTCCACGGGGCAGCCCGGGGGCCGCTTCTCTCTGGGGCAGCTCAGCTTGCAGTTTTGGGAAAAACAGTGGGGAATGGGGATGCGATGGGGCAGGGAGCTGAGATGGGAGCACGTTGGCGGCGGGGCAGAGGGGAGAGGCTGCCCGGCCCGAGCAGAGGGTGCAGTATGCGGGCAGCCGGGGGTCTCAGGGTGCAGGATACGGGCAGCCAGGGG